TCCCTTTCTATAATCGGCATAATGCAGGAAAAATCATTTGAAATCTTATCTTCTTCCTCCTCATCTTTGAGCACAAAAGTAATGAAACAAAAACAAAAGGACACAAATGGGTCAAAAAAAAAAAACATAGCATCATTCTCAAATCCCAAGAAGTATGTAACCTATACCACAGCAAAGAGAATCCACTCATTATCGATGCAATAATCTTGTCAGATTCTATTCAAGCTGAATTTAAATGTACAATACTGATTGACAAAATGGTTGACAATCATGTATTATCAAAATCCTAACATATGAGGTAGAAATCAATCTTTTTTTTAAAAATGGATGAATATAATGATGTCAAATAGAATGTTGTCAACTAATATTGTACTGTAACACGATTCATTCAAGCCTGCATATCGATCAAATTCTGATATCACTTTTATTACGATGAGATTGGAGAAGACAATCGATAAATTATGTCACGTATTTTTCTTCGACAAATGCTGCTAACTTAACCTCGACAATTTTTTACACAATGCTCTTCTTTCTATGAATTATCAAATGATCACAATCCAAGAGCCAGATAATCATTTTTTCAAAATAAAAAAAGGGGGTATCCTCGTACTATTTAGCCTTGGAGGTGTAATTGATAAAGGGGTTTTTCCCCATGTTTTTGAGATTAATGAGTATAGTGAAGTTTAAAAAGTTTACTTATAAGTAAAAATGTAAATTTTAATCTAAATTATTTTTTGTTAATTAAAGTTTAAATAAGTAAAGTGCTTACTTTTATTAAAAGTTATAAAGACATGAGTTATTTAGCTACTTTGAAGTAACTCTACAAACTCCTACCCACCACACAATCACCATTTTCTTGTACAGCTCGTTCTAAGCCCCTGATAGACATTAATTTTTCATTCTCATTTTTCTACTCATTTTCAACCACACATTATTTAATAAAATAATATTTTTTTCACATCAATAACTTTGCCTTCCTTTTCAACCACACATTCTCCATCAATTTACTATTTCATAATACACTCTTTCAAAATAATGTGACTCAAACACACCCTAAGTCTCCCTATTTGATGGGAATTAAAATTAAATGTTTAGTAAATTTTATTTCATAGTTGATGAAATACCATCATTGTTTGGCTCCCATTTTGGAGAATTTATAAATTTTGAAATAGTGATTGATAAGAAAATGCGTGGTTGAAAAATAATGAAAAATTTTAAATTTGTGTGTAATATTATTTTATTTAAAAAATGTGTGGTTAAAATTATGAAAGGAAAAAATTTAATGAGGGCCAAACAATGAGGATATAAGGTTGAAAAATTGTGAGTTCCATGAAACACTTGGTTAAAATTAATTGTTGATTTTAACTTAAATTATCTATAATTTAATCATTAAGGGGGTGTTTGTTTGATATTTTTGGGGGAAAAATTGATTTTTGAATAGTGATGTGATGGGAAATGTGTGGTTGAAAAAGAATAAAAAATTATTGATATGATGAAAAATATTATTTTATTGAAAAATATGTGATTGAAAATGACAATTAATTTACTGTAAAATTTAAAAATCCCAAACAAACACCCCTTAACAAAGAAGGGCTAAGTTCCAAAACATGCAAACTCCCTAAAGATCAGTGAAATACCTACCATCACCCAAACTAGAAAAATAAAAATATCTTCAAGAATGTACATACAAAATAAAAAAAAGATTAGATATTTTCAAAAATTAATTAAACATAAATAATTAACAGAAGGGAAAAAAAGGACCAAATAATTCAAACCACAACAGCAAATATCACCACTCAAAAGTACAAATTGTAAATGAAGCATTTACTAATCCAGTGCATTAGGGCCAGTACAGTAATTTACCATAGGGTTCCAAACCCACTGAACCAAGAACCTTCGTCGGATTCCATTCATGTTATACGTGGCACCATCTTTGCTGTTCAACATTTGTCCAGTGTACGACCCACCTCCTCCAGTTCCGTAAATACCCTCACAAAGATCTGCTATTTCCACTGGGAAAACCGGGTCCTGACCCGCATACCAGGCGTTCACTAACGGGTTGGTAGATAGCTCCGCTATTTCGTGACCAATCACGCTTATCATGCCGTCCACTCCTATGTCGTCGTTTGGTGATTTCACTGCTTTCAACCCGGGAATGTATTCGGGTACGGCGAACGGGTACGCGCATACACCGGGGCACAGCTTAGCGGAGTTACCCACCCAGGCGTACGGTAGCGTGTACCCAACAATGGCGGGAAAGGTGAAGTAATGGAACCCGCATACATTGTTGCAGAAATCCTGTACGTACACATTGTCGGAGGTCAATAAGAGGTAAACGCCGCTCTTAGGGTTGATCGGAAGTGGCCGGGTGGTGGCAGTGACGGCGGATTTTATCACTGACTGGACCGAAAGTCGAGTTAGGGATTTTCCATGGGAGTAAAACCGGTCGTTTTTCTCCGCCCCGATATGGACATTGCGAGAAATGTTGGCTCCTGTTTGATCCGTGTAGAGTCGAACCGTTTTCCACCACCCCGAAACCGACGGCGGCTTAGAGTCCACGTTGGAGAAGGAACTGATGAATTCACGGATTATACGTTTCTGGGATTTTTTCCAAATGCCATACCAAATGGGATAAACAGTGATGTTGGATGTGAGTACAGGTCCCATGTGGTACTTCAAGTGAACAAATTCCGAAGAACCTTCATACTTCTTCGACCCACCAAAGAAGAAATCTGTAGCGTTTGGCTTTTGACTGGGCCATGGCCTCCACCCGACAACAGCCCCAGTAAAAAGGAAGAAGGTGAAGAAGAAGAAGAGTGGTGTAAGGGCGAGTGCAGCCCGAAGTGGTGGCGTCTGGGCCATGGCAGTGTTTAGTAGCTAAGCAAATTTGTTACCAGTGAGAGACAGGAGTGAAAGGGCATATAAATATATCTATATATATACACGGAGGATATGCATACAAATGATAGCATATAAATATTAACCACCTTGGATGTCAAAATGTGTTGGAATGGTTAAATAATGTGTATAAAGCCGGGAGTAATGGAAGAATTTATACGGAAGTTGATGCGGCGGTGTGTAATTGGACTGCATTTTTTATTTTTTCCCATCTTTTAATGATGTCCTGCCATGTGTTGTCTGTAAAAATTTTTGTAATACTTCCCTTTTTTTTTTGAAAAAAATGTGTTTTGCAATAGTATTATGATGGAAAATGTGTGGTTAAAGAATAAAAAATTAAATTTACGTGTAATATTATTTTATTGAATGATAATTAAAATGTGGTTAAATCACTGTTCAATAATTCATTTTGATAGAAAAAATAAGGTTTAAACAAGGGTTTAATTTGTTATTCACAATAATTCAATTTTAATTCGATTTTAATCTCTACTGAACACGTTTTTATTATATTAGGAATTATGTTACGTACTTTCTAACAAGGTAGCACTATCCTTCTTTAAAATTTGAGGGGTGTAGGAGTGGGGCCTACAATTGGGCATCAATGGTAATGATAGTTCTCGTCGTTACTTGATCAGACTATTATAAGTCTGAGGAGTGGTCCAGAATTTACTTTTATGCCTTGATTTTTCCTAATCTTTTGGGCGGGAGAAGTAGGGGCAGTTTAGGAATTTAAGTTTGTAATTGGCTCGACTTTTGATTTTCCCTTTGGACCGCTCTATCCACTTTTCTCCTTGAAATGCAACACACACTACTGTGTGAAATTTGAATTTACAAAATCATTTATTCCGATCAATGCTGGTCATATTAAGAATTTGTTTGGAAAGAATTAAAATTAAAAATATAGTCGTTATTGGATCCCACTTATCTAATAAAAGTCAACTCCAACAGCTATATTTTCAATTTTAATATGATTTTAATCATTCTCAAACAAGCTCTAAGTTATGCAGTCTAATTATTGCTGTTAAAATAGGGAGATGCATTAGAGTTTTGTATTATCATAAATAAATAAATAAAAGATTGACGTTAGAGAAAATAGAATGTGCAATTTTCATAGCAGTGAATTACAGAAGAAGCAAATGCAGACATAATCTTTCATTGAGTCGAACTTCTATAAATCTTACGTGTTCTTGTATTATTATTTTCTTTCTGCGATTTCATTGCTCTCGATAACATAAAACTAGAATTTTTAATTCTCAACAGGACCTCTCTCGATCGAAGCATTGCATCATCTCGACTCCCTCAAGAGATAATTTATTTTCTCTATCTTGCTCAGCCTCCCTTGAAGCCAATTGCAGAATTTTTTCGACCACGGCAGTTAACTAAGACATACATTGGGGGTATATTAGCCAATGGACCTATAAATTAAGGGAAAGCTAAGACGTACCTAGTACATGTTCGGGTAGTCCGTCGAAATAATTGTCAGTAAAGCTGCAGCAGGAGGTTGTACTACAAAACATGTCCGGAGTAGTATTTACAAAGCTTTACTGTACAACTAAATGGCTGTTAGGAAATTGAATGAGTTTCGTGTACGTATTCTTCCAACTTAAGTCAAATACCCCACCTTTACCATACTCCCTTAAACAAGCTAACACCCCAAAATTTATGACATTCAATTCTCTGAGTTAGATCGGAATGAATGCCGTGCATGTTCAGTACGTAATTAGATAGAACTATACAACTTTAGATAAAAAGAAACATATAAAGTTGGCCGACCAAATGTGACAATTCTATTTGCATATGAAATTAATTTGTTAGCTCACACATGGTACGTTAAATTGGATAGACACAAAGCCCCTATTTGGTTTAGTTAAAAATAAGATTTTACTGGATTTTAATNNAAATAAGATTTTACTGGATTTTAATAAAAAAAAATGATGAAAATATATGGTCGATTAGTAAGTTTAAACTTCGTTGATATATTTATGCCTTGTTTGTTTCTGATTAAAATCAGATTTTAATCAGAATCAAAGTAAAACAATCAATATTAATCACATCTTTCATGGGTCCCACAGCTTTTCAATCACACACTTCAAAAACTTCTATCACAATTTATTAAAAATTCAATTTTAATCCCCACCAAACACCCTTTTAGTAAGAAGGATTAGATAATACTGAATATGCTAATATTTTTTTTCATTAAGCAGTGCATTTAATATTATGTTCTAAACTTGCCCGATAAGTGTATCACAATTGATGCATAAAATTTAAACATCTACGACCATTTCTAGCGAAACTAATTTGAAGGAATTCCTAAAACGTAGATATCGAGACTTGGTGCATTTTAACGATGTGTTTTGTAGGATTGTACATATCTTATCCTCGAATATTTTTTAGTTCTGTTTAATTTAACGCACCAAACATGTAAAAAAATAGACTACTTTTTCATGATAAATTAATGGAGATAATCATAATATATGCAATGATGATAGCTAGGGAAGGAGGAAAGTGGCGTTTCCCTAATTAATACATTAATGGGCTGAAATTATGGAAATATCAAACACAGCCCGAGAATGAGAGCCATTGTGGGCCAGATGGGGCCCATAGAAAAGCTCAAAGAATAATAACAAAATTTGTACAGTGTCCTTATAGAGCCTTTTACTAGACCCTACACCACCTTTTTAAAAAAAAAATTATTTATATTTCCTAGACTTTGCTTGCGCGATTAGCTCTTTTGATTAGTTTCATTCATCCCCGACCTTAATGAATGGACTATGAAAAAATCGGTTAAACAAGTTCTTCTCTACTTCACTATTTGTTTGGAAGTACTTAGATTAAAATTTAAGAATCGAATCTTATGGATTAAAAATGGATAATAAGTTGTGGGTCTGTAAAATTTGTAAATAACAGTGTGTTTGATTTGTTTAAAATTTAAACTCGTTGAGAATGACTTTTGTTTTTACTTTTACTTTCCGTAGAAGAGTTTTTGAAGGAAGTTACTTTACTTTAGTTTGGAAATCAATTTCTAAATGAGCTCGTTATTCCGAAAGTGCTTGTAGAAGAAGTCACATTGTATCAACTTGCTCTAAAAATTCTCTTAACTAGAAGAAATATTTTTATAAAATTAGACAAACGTGTCCAAAAATAACTTGTGTTTGAAAAGCTTCTTTATCAAAGATGCATTTAATCGAGTCCTCAACAAGTTAGCTGTTTTATGGTCATTGGCTTTGGGATAGACGCATAACAATGACCTTAGTAACACACAGACAGGATATCAATCTATATTGGACTCTAATGAATGAACTAAGCTACTCAAATAGGGATTTTTGATAGGGAAAGTTGACAGAGCTGATATGACGAATTGTGATTCATCTATTTTTTATTTTTTATTATTATTTCATTTTTCAATGAATGCATGTCAAGTATTGGCTGTCAACATTTCCTGTCAAAATTTCCTTGTTGATTGCTAATGAATATATGCAGAGTCAAACAAAAAATAACCTATATAATGGTACATCGAAAATAGTTACCAGGAGCGACGGCGCGTGAATATTACGCGCCGTCACTATAGGAGGGGTAGTAGATAAGTGGGCCTAAGGCGAGTAATATGGACCAAAATTTAAATTAGAGTGAGGGCCATAAGATAAGTGGACCCAGTTTGTAATAATAGTCTGTCGAAGACCGCTATTCGACCTAATTTTCACCGAAAAGTGCTTACATTAATTTAATAAGTGCTACACAACCTTAACCAGGTCAAAGACTCAAATGCACACTCAGATGATTTTCACATGGGTTTTATTGGTTTTGAATTAATAAATGAACTTTATTTCTTATAGTCCCACATTTATTTTCATTTCATAAATTCACAACACATTTTCATCGACAATAGTGCAAAATTGAATTTACTTGTACTCAACTATTTTGAATAAACCTATTTAATTTTGGACGAGGTTTTGCTTAGCAAAAAATATAGTACTCGAAAACAAATTGTTCACAAATGAGTCAAAGTAACGATGACATGTAGTACTTATGTTAAATGTTCGTGTAACACAAAATGACGAGTGTATACATTTTAAATCAACGTGATTAACAAATTAATTATTTAACAAAGCCAAAACATAATCTACGCCGGTGTATTTAAAAATCAGATTCTTAGTAGATTTTGATAAAATTCGATGAAATATGTGGTTGAAAAATTGTGGTAAAAATTAATTGTGGACTTTGACACCAAATATGGGCTAAATGTAGAAAATTTCTCACTTTCG